CCTGATGGTCGGCAGCATTATTGTGAGAAGCCATGGATCTAGTCGTGACCATACACTTTGACGGGTAGGAGGAAAAGATTGTTGGAATGGGGTCTCCGGTGACAGTGAACACAACTGGCGCGAGGAGCAAAGCGTTCCCATAGACGGCGCCAACTGATGATACAGTTTATCCCAGTGAATGGAGCGAACTGGTCCAAGCTCCTCAAGCCCAAGTCCAAATGATCAAGCCCACCGAATAACCTGCAAACAAGTTCAACGGGGAACGGGATAGTCCCCAGTGAACCCTCCGACGAGCAAGTTAGGAAGAGAAGTGGAGTATAGAGGGAGAGATTAGAGATAGAAAGCTTAACCTTCTTCTTATCTTCAACGTTCGCTTATATCCTTTGGTAATCATTTCGCTGTCCCTTCTGACCTGCTCTCTTCGCCGAAAGCCTATGCTGTAGCTTACCTTGTTCAGGGTAAGGGGGTCCTGTTCCGACGGAGAGGTGTTATCGTAATAAATGCTGTGATGGGCTGTATTAATAGTGATGTGCAGTGACAATAATTTTACAGATTTTTGTCTGTTGATGTGGCTCGTCCTTCTCTTGCCGTGTGTCTGAATGTCATTGGCTCTTTATGCCATGTTGGACTCCAGCTATCCTGGACCTCACTAGTTGAGTTATGCATTGGGCTCCAAGTGATGGGCTTGAATTGTCCATAGGTGATTCGCGGCCTTTATGAACTTATACACATCACATATATATATATATATATATATAAAATTGTATTTGTTACTGTTCTTGTAAAATTATAGAAATAGTTATATAAATGTACTTATAAAGGATAATTTGGTAATTGAAAAAACAATCATGACAATCAACACTAAGTCCAACTTTTGTTTTTTTTTGTTTGCTAACAAGCTAAATTGATTCAATTGTATATTTAAATTTCACTAATGCCAGGTGCATATATGTGTACTACATAACATATATACACAATATATATATATATATATATATATTTATTGGGGTTAAGATTTATTTTAAGTATCAGGACCCACGCCACACTTAATGGTGAATTTTAATCATACAGTACATTTACTTTGTTCTTTTATGTTATAATATAGAGAAATTCTAATATATATCTCTAGTTACATCATTTTTTTATTTAGTTATAATTATTATTTTTTAATTATGATATTGTTTTAATTATGACTCATAAATTTTTTAGTTATGTCTTATATTTTATTTGGTTATGACATTTATTTTTAATTATAACTAAGAAAGTATAAAATTATATCATTTTATTTTTTAGTTATAAAGTACATATTGTACATACATTTTGAATCATAATATTTCACTCATATATATACGTTCATGTATCATTTATGTTTGACTGTAAACTTGCAAGTAGATTCAAGTTCAATTAATAAACAAATTGATGATAAAAAAATAAATAAATAAACAAATTGAATTTAATCTTTGTATTCTATTCAACCCAATCCGAACGCATGTTAAAAAGAGTCAAAATAATAGAAATCTTGCCACCACCATCTATGCCCGAAATGCACAAATAAATATGAATTTAACTTGTATAATGGCCTACCACCATTTTAAAAAAGTTCTGTTAGTTCTTTTCTATTATAAATCCAGTGACTTGTAGACATATATAACATCCCCACTTACTCCAACCAAAATATTTATTATAGCTATAACTTCCCCACATATATAAATATTCATTAATTTCGAAGGTAACTCCCCAAAAAAATAAAATTCTTTTAGGGTGGTCCGCATCATATTCAATTCAATAGCAACGCTTCACTATTTGAGTCCTGGTCCGCACCGCAGGTAGCAGGGCCGTAACCGTACGGTTCGCGCTGAGTAATTATTCAGTGTTATCAACACATTGTTCATGTAGTTGAAAAATGAATGCTAAGGTTTACTTTGAAAAGTTGGATAGAAGTCAATTTTTTTTAAAATAACGTATAAAAAATAGAGAATTAATGTGATCCACACTAAGTTAAAAGTTAAAAATTGAATTTTTACCATATTTCCAAATTGGCTCTAAATATTATGAATTCAAACATAAAAAAAATATGAATATTGCTTGGGACTCCCTTTTGGGGGTCACCCCCTCACCCCCTTGCCACGTGGCTGGTGGTGATTGGAGGAGCAGAAAAAAAAGGAAAAAGAAAAAAAAATGTAACCAATGAGAAAGAGAGGGGGTCAAAGGGGGTGGGGGAAAAAGGGAGATGCATCATTGTTGAAAAAATATTAAGAAAAATTGGTATGTAATTTAGATTTAATTTTAATACGATGAGGTCTACATTTAAAATAAATCTTTATCTTAAATAGAAACTGTGAGCCCACTCTTATTATGGAGCAATTTGGAAAGCTAGCTTTTAACTTTTAACTTTTAATTCATTTTGAATTATATCATCTCTCATATTTTTTACACACAAAATAACAAAAAAAAATATAAAAAAAAACTAACATTTAACCAATTTTCAAAATCACCCCATGTAAAAAGTAATTTATTGACTTATGGCAAGTTGTGAGACCTTATTAGTAAATATGCTAAAAAATATTCAAAAAGTGAAAAAAAAAAAAAGATTTGTTAACATTGATTTTTTTTTTCTTTTCCTTTTTCCCTTAGCTTAATATCTACTAATAAGTTAACTATGTAGAAGACTCCAAAAAAGAAAAAACAAAAAAAAAACAAAAAAAAAAAACAAAAAAATCTTGATATATTATATGATTTTTATTTATTAAGAGTTTTATGTGGACGTGAGATTTATTTGGTATAATTTATTACAAGTTCAAAATTGACAATAAAAAAATTAAAATTAAAAATTAAAAATAATTATTCTAAACTAGCAATAATTAACTTATATTTTTAATTTATTGAAATCATTTTAATCTAATAAATAGTCAGTAAAATTTACATTAAATATTCGGATAAATTACAGTAAATTTCCTTAAATTATGACCCATTTACATTTTGTTTCTTGAATTTTAAAAACTCAACATCTAACCCCCTTAAAATATTATCTTATTACACTTTACCCTTTTCGTTAGAATTCTGTTAAAAATTTACAAAAATATTGGATCTTATGTAAAGCGCATGACACATTTATTTAATTTTTTAAATAATGATGTCAATTATTAATTGTTTTAGAATAATGCTACTTTTATCTGGTGATGTCATTTACATTTTATCTCTCCTATGTTAGTGACAAAATACAAACGAGATTACTCGTTAGAATTCTGTTAAAAATTTACAAAAATATTGGATCTTATGTAAAGCGCATGACACATTTATTTAATTTTTTAAATAATGATGTCAATTATTAATTGTTTTAGAATAATGCTACTTTTATCTGGTGATGTCATTTACATTTTATCTCTCCTATGTTAATGACAAAATACAAATGAGATTACCAGATAAGAATATTATTATCCTAAAAATTTAATATATATATCATATTTTACACATGATTTGATTTTTTATACATTTTTAATAGAATCCTAATAAAAAAATTAGTTGTAATAAATTAATAATTTGAAAGGGGTTTACTATAATTTAAGGGGGTTATTGTAATTTACCTTAAATATTTTTGACATAAAATTTATGTCTCTTTTGGAAAGTAAGTTAAAAATCACTTATCAACTTTTAACTTATTTCAAGTCACATTATCTCTCAATTTTTTTATAAATTTTTTCAATAAAAACAATAAAAATTTAACTTTTAACCATCATTCTAAAACACCCAATAAAAAAAACTCGAAATTATTAAAATAGTTGTGGTATTGTATGGGCCTTACACGTGTGATGATGTAGTACAATTAGATTTGACACGAGAGTGGAGCTTGCACTTACGTTGCGAGCAAGGATCCTTTCATTTCCTTTCCTACTTTGCTCCCTCCTTGTAATGGTCAAGATTCACCTTAAGATAATCTAATAGCCCAAATCATCTCAAAAATACTATTTTTTATTTTTTTTTTGTTTAATAAAGTGATCCGAACCATTAAATTTTCTTAGAATGAATCTTGACCATTGCAAGAAAGGGATCAAGTAAAAAAGGCAAGGAGGGGATCCTTGCTCCGATGCCGCACCATAGACTAGAGAGTAAATTTAAAATTGAATTTTTATATATTTTTAATTTTTTATAAAAAATATATAAAAAATAAAAGATAAATTACAAACATTTCACCGATATTTACTTAAATTATAAATTGTCACATGTGATTCTAAAAATTACATTATGGCACCGTTTGGGAAGGTGGGTTGCAGGCTTTTTTGGCTATTTTAGCCACAAAAAACAAAATAGGCTATTTTAGCCATAACAAACAAAACATCACATCCAACCCATAATCATTACATTCTTCTCTCACAAAAAAACTCAAAAAAGCTAAAAAGCCAAAAAGCCCTTCCCAAACCAAGCTTTTAAGCCTAGGCTAAAATAGCCAAAAAAGCCAAAAAGTCAAAAAGCCAACCCACTTCCCAAACGGAGGCTATGTCTCCCAAGATTTTTAATTTCATAATAAATAAATCTTTTTATCAATAAATCATTAAATTAATTAAAAGTTTTTAATAATGTTAAAATTTTATTTCAATTAATAATTTAGATAATTTTATTATTGTATAGGTAAACAGTTAGAAATTTTACTTTTTTAATTAATTCTGTTAAATAAAAAATTATGACAGGATATTTGTAATTTTTCAAACTATAAGGATAATTCATACTATTTTAAACAAATTTCAGAAAATGTACTTATAATTTACATAAAAAAATAAAAGAACAATGTGAAAAAAAAACTACTAAAATAATTAAAACTGACTTAGGGCTTTTGAGGAGGTAGGTTTGTAGTTAATTCTCGACTTTTAACTGATTTTGAATCTTATTTATCTCTCACATTTTTTATATAATTTTTTTAAAAAAATCAAAAATCAAAAATCAAAAATCAAAAAATCAACTTTTTATCCAATCAGCCCATCCCCCACACGCTACCCAAACAGGCAACAGAATCCTCATAATTCCAAAAGGGGGCACCTCCTCCCTTCCTTTTCCTTCCTGCCTTTCTTCCTCATCCTCTCTCTCCCTCTCTCTCTCTCTCTCTAAGCAGTCCAAGTCCGATTTCTCAGGTTGCTTCGTTGCCCTGTCCAATTCTCGAATCTTCTGAAGATTATTTTATTCACAAGTTTGTTCATCATCTCTGTTTGGGCTCTCTGTGGAAACTCCAAATCCTCGCTAAAACCCGTTACCATCTACGGTCTTCTGATTTTCTCCTTCTTCCATAGTTCTTCAACAAAAGGGTGAGTGTTTGTTTCTCCGCAATCTATACATACAGACATGTATATATAAATATACACCTACATATATTGTTTTGTATTACAAAAAAAAGTACATACATATATACAGGCTTCGTTTGGACTAATTTTAGTGAGAAAATATAATCCAAATCACAATTATTTTACTTTTTCTCTCACAAAATTATAAAAAAGCGAAAGTTCTCTCGAAACAGAGCGTTTTTAGTCAGTCTAAAATAGTCAAAAACAAAAACGTCAGGCTAAAAAAGTTTTTCCAAACGAAGACACACAGTATTGATTCTGGTTCTTCTGAGGGGTTTAAGGGGTGAATTTATATGAAAATTTTTTTTTTAAAAAAAAAAATCCCCGTAGTGGGTGATCTATATAATTTGAAAATATTGTTGACTTATATAAAGGGTTTTTGAAAACATTGAGCTCTGTATCCTAATTTAATGAATGCAACTTTCTGTGTTTTTGCTGCAGATATAGTTTTGAGAAATCAGCATGATGGGTTTGGTCTTTCCATCTGGTTTGATGACAAGTACTGGCTATGTTGGTCCAGACAAAGAATTTGATTGGTTGTTGTCTGCCTTTGCTGGCATTGTTATGTGCAAAATTGTAAGTGTGGTCGGTTAATCTGGTTTTCATATTGTGTGCTATTGATTATTGGAGTAGTATTTTGGTTTGCCAGTTTCACAATGGATGAATGCAGATTCCCAATTTTGTGCTCTATTTTATGAAATATATATATATATATATATGCGTGTGTGTGTCTATTTCTTTCTTGACTTAGAATGCTGAATCATGATTGATCATATCTGTGACTGCAATGAGAGACTAATTAGTTGGAAGGAAGGGAAAATATGAAAATTGAAATATCCGAAGCAGAAACAAAAGAAGCAACATCTTGAACATGTGAATATCAATTTGGATTGAAAATTCATTTAAGATATACTAGTTAATTGGAAAACTTTTGGTTTCTTGGAATTTTACCAATTAGAATAATTAGAGAAATTTGATAAGTAAGATATCTCAAGGAGATGGTGGAAAATAACTGAATGTGTAAAAGAAGAGAAGAAATTGAGACCGCTATACTAGTGAGCTTAAGTGGTTGCTAGCTGATGTCTTTCAATTTGAATGTCATGGCCCTCATGGGCTCAAGTCCCCATTTATTGCCTATCCAAGAGAAAGGACTAATGAAGAAAAGATTTAATGGCGTGAAGTAGATGTGCATCTTGCATGCCCCTCCCTTCAGTTTTTAAAGGGTAATTGGTGCAAAATTTTTAGAATTTTTTGTTTTTCTGTTGTTTCATGTTTCTTAAAACACAAAATGAGACTGAAGATACAGAAAATAACCTTTTAACCTTTAACATGCTATTTTTTCGTAGTTAATTTTCAACCCTTAAATTTAAAGGGTGATTCCCATCATTGCTTTGTTCTTCTTTTTGTATATGGGCTGCATCCCATCTTGATGCTTCTCTTCTCGTTGTAAAATTTTACTTATTGAGAAGTGTTTCCAAGTGAAACTATCATTTGTATTTGCATCTTTTGATTATTTTGAATGTGTCCTGAACTTCAAATCAGTTTAGAGCAATTAACAAATTTTAGTTTCATTTGGACTTAAAAAAAGAAGATAAATGTAACTTAGGATGAGCTATTTGGAAGGAAACATCTTTACTGCATGTATTAGCTCAGGGAAGAAAGATTCATCAGTTCTCTTCAGTAGGTTACCACCTTGAAATACTTCAAGAAATATATTTCTGTTTTACTTGAAATGATTGTGGCTAGCATCCTGTGAATCAAGCATGTGATTTTTTTTTACATACTTTTCTTTTGCAATGTTTATTTGTAATTTAAAGATTGGTTTTTAGAATTAAAATTCTAATGCATCTTACTTTACTTTAGCATCTTTATACCATTTAAAGAGGTTGAATTTTGCCTATGAAGGTTTATGAATTAACAGGTGTGGTTAGTCTGTTGTTCTTCAAGGGGTATGCCAAGCTCAACGATGCAGAAAAACTTGAATGGAACAACAGGTGACGTTCTTTTCCACTCCAATCCCATTTTGTATTAATATTGTTGTCTGTGATTGTTTTTTAGTGGTTTCAACAACTCAAATACGTATGGCTTTTGTCGTTCAGGGGTTTCTCTACATTCCATGCTCTTGTTGTGGCAGTGGCTTCTGTCTATCTCTTGCTATTTTCAGATCTTTTTGATGAGAATTATGATAACAAGTTAATTGTCCACAGAAGTTCTACTTTATCAGACACCATATTGGGGGTATGTTATTGCACGAAGCAGCATTGTGAAGTTACTGTGGCATACTTAATATAACTTGTTGATTATTAATTTGACATGTCCTCTTCTTGTAAATGGATGATTTTTCCAACAAGGTCAGTGGTTGCAGAATAAAAGTCTTAAGAGATGCTTGTAGAGAAGGTAGACGTGTGTGCCCACAAGACTTGCATATGATGCCCTTCCTAATTTTCATATGCAATTTTGTGTCATCTTCTGAAAATCTTAGATATTGACAAGATTTCAGTTTTGCCTTTGGGAACCCAGTTTAATGAGTGCAAGAAGAATAATCTACAACGTAATTTAATTAATTGTGAAATAATTGAAGTTAAAAGTATGTGAAGAAATCCACAATTTAGACAGCACCAACAACTGTAAATGAACTATATCTAGCCAAACATCTCCATGATACATGCTCTCTCTCTCTCTCTCTCTCTCTCCTGATTCCTTGCTAGTGTTTGTGTCATGAATGTCATAGCCTCTTATTTTCGAACAATTTTCTTGCTAGGGATTTACGATTGTCGAACCTAATTTTGGTATTCCACAATGTCACTTTGTTAGTTTTGTTGCTGCATGGTTGACAGCAAGCAATCATGACAATGCATTTTTTTTGACACCTTACAGTACGTAATGAACAATAATTTTTTTCTTGAAGGAATTCAACATGTTGTATGCACCTTTCTTTTGGATTCAATTACATGTTAATAAAGTTGCAATTTTTTGTTGAGAAATCTGAAATTTACTTCAATAATAGTCTTTTCACTGTTTTCCCTTGTGGAATTTTCTTTATTTGATTCTTTTTTTCAAATGTGTATACAGATATCCATTGGTTATTTTCTGTCAGACTTGGCGATGATTCTTTGGAATTATCCAGCTTTAGGTGGTATGGTGTATGTAAGTATAAACATTCATGTTGTTTGTCACCAAAATATTGTTTTAGGAAATCCTGTGACTTCATCTATTGTTGAAAGCTTGTAAACAACATATCCTGGGTGGTTTAAAATGGTTGGGGGTTTGGTGTCCTTATTTTTGAAATACGGTTATTCGTAACTATCCGGTTTATAAATCATCTCATTATTTCTGTCAGGTCTTGCACCATGGACTATCAATGTTCTCAATCTTCCTCTCCCTTGTACATGGTCAAGGACAGTTTTACATACTAATGGTTCTCTTTACCGAGAGCACAACTCCCTTTGTTAATTTAAGATGGTAAATTTAGCATCCAGAAATTTCTTGATTTTCATATTCTTGGTGCTCAACCTTGGCTCATCACTGTTAATACATATGCAGGTACTTGGATGTCGCTGGTCAGAAGAATTCTAAACTTTACGTCTGCAACGGTGTTGCCTTATTTTTTGGGTGGTTGGTAATGTCTGCCAAACCTTAATATCTTGGTCCTTTGCAGTTGTTTTTGCTAAATACGGAAGACTAGTTTGCTGATGTGCATACTGAAATGCAAACAAATGGAAATGGAGATTTTGCTGGTCAACGATAGGGTTTGGGAAAGTCTGAATTATGCTTAGTCTAGGCAGAACGTGTTCTCACACATGTCCACCCTATTATCAGAAATGGATTAAAAAAGAAAAAAAAAAGAGAGAAGGCATTTTAACATAATAAAATCATTCTCTAATACTTCAAAGTTGTTGTGAAAGAGTGAGTTGAATTTGATTTACTAATAGTTAATATAGAATAGGAGTGACCATTGGTTCAATGGTAAAACTTTGGCCTAATAATCTTGAGGTTATGGGTTTAAGTCTCGGGGGCAACCCCTTTATGCACTATGCCAAAAGCTATGTGTACCCAATCTTTCCCCTCCGAAACACGCATTAATGTGTACTAATTGGACGTTGTTTTTAATAGTATATAGAATGATGTTGTCCATATTGAAAAGATTACCTCAATTGCTATGGAAGTTCCATATCTTTTGAGGATGCTAGCCTATTGTGTATAATATATATTGCCATAGAATCTTTCTCATTTTCCCTATTTTGTTATGAGAATGGTAGGTCCCCCTTGTTCTCTATTCTGTTATGAGAACAATTTTCAGAAAATTTAAAACAAAAACCTGCTTTTGCCTTATGCCTTCAAAAATTTTGGAAACAAAATCATGAACCAAATGAACCCTTAATGTTTGTACTTGTAGTGCATAATTCAAGGAGGGTATGGAATTAAACATACTGGGAATGAAGAATGGGAAGAGGAAAGAGGATACATGTTTAGGAATGAATCCCTCTCTTGGCCTTTTGGTGTGCGATGGAAGATCCCTATATTGATTTATTAAGTTTGTACACATCAATTTAGATACTTTTCAATATGAAAATGAGGACAAATTTGATGCACACCACTCAGAACTTCTACAATCGAGGTTAGAGATTCCTTAGGAAGATAGTATCCATTATGCATATTTTGCATGTGCCTTTGATGCGGAGTATAAAAAGCTCAAGGAAGGCTAAATTCAAAGAAGCAATGATATTTGGATGTTGGCATAATATCAAAGAGAAATTGGTAGGAATCTTATATAATTATGTTTATAGTTTTATTAGAATCTTATTTTATGATTATATTTATGTTTTTTAGGATTTTAAGCTTAGGAGTATTTTGGTAATTTGCATAATTTCCGAATATGTGTTGTGTGGGTTGCCCATGAGTTGTCTTGTTGGTCAAGTTATTTAATTAGTCTTTGTTTTTGTTTCTTATTTAGTCTTAGATTAGTTTTGGAAGTCAAAGAGATTATAATAGTTTTTTTTTTTGTTATAGTTGATTTAGGAAGTCTTCTAGTTCTATATAAAGCTATGCAATGCTTATAATTTAATAGATTTTATATTTTATAGAATTTTAGAGCTTTTAAAGTTTCCTTATGGATTGTGTGATGCAATCAAACCCTAGGTGTGATGCCTAAGAAATTCTAAGAGTAATTCCTAGACTTATCTTCTTCTTCTCCTTCTTTCCATTTTTTATTTTCTGCACTTTAACAGCCCAAAAATACTGTTCACGGATACTTTCACAGCCCCAGAACAGCCCTTGCAGCGCTGTCCTGCATCAGCCTTCCTCATAGTTTTTACACCTAACATGTTTCATGCAAGCACCGATGGCCTTAAATGAATATATGATTGTTCCTTATCTCTCATATCATTCTGGGGTCATGCATTTTCTTTTCCTTCTTTGATATTCTCGAGGACAGAGAAACTTGATGTGATGAGTTGGTATCTCTTTAGAACAATTGTTAAACGTTCAACTAGCAATCTCCTAAATTTCTTTTGAATTTCTAGTGGTCTATCATACATACAGTTGTTTTTTGGGTAAACATATAGATCAAATTGATCAACGTGTCGGGAATTTCATGCTAGTTACTTTGCTTATATGTTACCAGATAAGTTTGTGACTCGTAAACTTTTGGTGCTTTCAGGTTGCAAGGATTCTTCTGTTCATCTTCTGCTTTTACCATTTGCTTACCCATTTTGATCAGGTGAATTTGTTGGTCCTTGATTAAATTGAATGAAAATGAGGCAATTAAGAACAAGATCTTACTAGTTTAATTCTGATATTTCAACATATCTCTAATATATGTACGTCCTGAGACCCTGACCTTCAAGTAAATCTTGATTACTTGAATAAAGTTGATGCAAAATTGTAGTTTGGAATCACATGAATCAGTCAGTCATGTTGTACCAAGACATTCTAGAACTAATTAAATCACGTCACTTCATGACCTATCTGATTTTCAAGAATTAAGAAAGCTCTTGTATAATATCCAAAGATCTTGTGAAATATCAAATTTTTTTTTTTTCCTTCTAAACTCTTCCCCTGGCAACTAGAGAAGGCATGGGGGAAATCTTGTATGCACTATTGACTTATGCGGGAATGACTACAAAACATCGGCCCCCTAGTATTTCTTTGTCTCACTTCATTTTAAGAATGTGAATTTTGGAAAGAGAGGTAAAAAAAAATTCTTATGCAGACCTTTCTTCTCAGAGGTCGAAAAGAGGTTTGTGTTTAGATGTCACCATACAAGAAACATTAGTTTATAGCAATTCCCAAATATAGTTCGCATAGGGCTTAATATAATATCTCTCTCTCTGAAATGAGGTTGTTGTCTCTTGTTCTGTTTCTGTTATTTTCTTAGGTCAAGCAAATGATGCCCTTGGCTTTCTACACCTTGCTTGCAGTGCCTCCGGTGTTGGCAGCGATGAATTTGTTTTGGTTTTGGAAAATTGCCAAAGGTATGATCAAAACTCTCTCTAAGGCGAGACACAGTCACAGTCAGTGATTGACCATGGTCCTTGTGATTCTTCTGTACATGCACATCACTTCAGTTGGCTTTATTGAAGGAGCTACATGAATTTCACCCAGTGTACATCTTGTAGTTGTATATTTCTCTTTTATTGGTTTTCTGGGTCTTCATCTGGTTACAAGAACACCAACAAATTGTTGTGAATTGAATAGCAAATGGTCAATGAAAGAAATGCATGGACATTGAAGTTCTCTCACTATCTGGATTTCTATCTTTTCTTGTGGATCAGGATTTTTCTGTCATTCTTTTCTTTGCAGTGATCTTGTTGTAGTGATTTAATGGTCCAAGTTTGAAGCTGAAGTAAAAACTCATCGTTTGGAGTTTAAAATAAAAAATGGTTTTCTATTGTCATATTGTCTTAATTTTAAACTTGGGCTGTTGGATTAAGCCCTTTGTTGTCGTGTCTTGCTATGATAATTGTAGAGAAAGAATGATAAAAATTCTGATTCTTTCTTTTGAAGTACCTAGTGGTGCACTGATGCTATAACCCTATCATTTTCCCCCCAGTTGTGCATTATATAAGATGATGATATAGGTTGTTGAAGTGCATGGATAGGGTGGCATATTTAGTCAACAAACATGTTAAATTCTCCAACTTTGATACAATTATATATAATCAACAAATAATTATATTCAACACAACTAAAGCAAAGCCATCTACTGTTCTTATGGATAACATTTTTTTGTTTATTCCATTGAATAATTATTTATAAATTTTGGCATGGAAAACAATAAAATGGAGAGAGAGAAAGAGAGAAGGGACTGTTTATTTTAATAATAATGATACATTTATCATCTTTTTATATTCTTTTTATTTTTATATCATATTTCAAGTGGCATCTCATATGGGACTAATGCATTCATGGTTATGTTTTTGTTATATAAGATAGTATTTGAAATGTAGTGTAAAAAAATTGTAAGTGTAGCGTTATTGTTATCCCAATATCGGTATGTCAACATGATCTATTTTAATATTTAGGATGTTAAGTTGATCCAATATGAAGAGAAAAGAAATAGTGGGAAAGTACTATCATGATTTATTTGGATAATTGAGAGGACCGTAAATGGTAGAATTGTAGATAGGAATGGCAACTGGTCAGGGTGAGGTTGGGGACTGTACTCTCCATTTCTTATCCTCGAAGGTTAAAAATTTTTGTCCTAGCCCCCAATCCTTGGCGGGGGAACCCATCACCCCTCACCCCCGTCCCCTAACGGGGATCGGGTTTTTCCGACACTGAAAAATTCCCGAGCTTTTTTTTTTGAATTTTATTCAATATAAGATCAACAAATCAATATGTATCAGTATGTATCATCATCATCAACAAATCAATATATGTATAATTAAAATAGATTAAATTATTTTTTTTAACAATATAGATTTAAATTAAAGTAAATTTGTTTTTAGTATTATAATGAAAGCAATCTGTTTTCAGTATCATATAGATTTAAATTTAAAAAAAAAATTGAAAAAAAAGAGATCTGTTTTCAGAAAGAGAGAGAGAGAGAGATAACAGATCTAACAGATCTGAGTACACCTCCATTGTCTCGCACAGATCTGAGTAACGCCAGTGACCAGGCTCTATGGTGAGATCGATGATGGCTGTAGCGGTGAGTTCGGTGGTGGTGAGAGAGAAACGGAGTGAAGAGATAGAGAGACGGATCTTTTGTGGCGATGGCAGTGGCGGTGGCAGTGACCATGAGGAATAGAGAGAGACGAAGTGGAGAGAGAGAAAGAGAAACCGCAGTGAGGAGAAGATAAAGAAAATGGGGTCGGGGGAGACACAGACGACAGAAGAGAGAAGAGATGAGAGAAGAGAATCTGAGAAATAAACCCTAAGTTAGAAAAACATATATATATATATATATATGTATAGACTATAGAGGGGTAAAATAGTAATTTTACTTCGGGGATAAATCCCTGCCCCGTTGGGAGTATTTTTCGAGAAAAAATTACTCAAATCGGGGTTGGTGCTCCACGAGCACGCCACGTTACCAATTTTCCTAACGGCCCAAACCATGCCACGTCATCACAACGCAGTCACACTTCACCACATTCGCAGCAAAGACTAAAATACAAAATTCCAAACATACCCTTATATCATCACCATTATTACCCAATTCAGCCCCATAGTGATAAAAAATTATTAATCAAACTTAGAGTGCCAACCTTAGAGTGCCGCGTGACCATACTTTATACCAATCATAATTTATTATGATTTCTCATATTTTTTAATCACTCAATATAAAATCATAAATTTCACTCCTTTTATCAATCTCAATACATACAAAACGTTAGGTGACGTTATTTCTAAATCAACTAATAACTTGGGAAATCACACGGTAGTCTATCTTAAAAGGAACTGGGGTGTTGATCGTACTTTTGAGTACACGCGTGGGCACAGATGGCGAGCTATGGTAAGGTCAAAAGAAACCGCGTCCGGTGTGAGCTCGCTGTACACCGAATGTCATCAGTGGGCCGGCTACTAACCCCACCTGTCTCGGTCCGCACCCCTTTTGTCGGCCCACACCACCATTTTATATAAGGGCGATAATTTCCCTCTCTCAAACTCCCAACTCTCTCTCCACTATCCAACGCAAATAGTAAAAAACCGTCTATATATGGTATGGTATGGTATGGTATGGTATATAGTGAGAGAAAATTAAATTTGATCGTGTTGGGGGAGGAGGTGGAGGAGATCATGGTCGTTTATTTTATTGAAACAGACTAGTGTGTCATGGGGTGTGCGGTACAAGCCGAAGCCGCCGTTAGGGTTGAGGTTGGTGGCGGCATTTTCGTCTCAGGTGAGTTCTAGCGGTGGTGGTGGTGGTGGAGGAGAGAGCATAACGTTTGAGGAGGCAAAGAAACTGATGAGATTGGTGAATGTGGAGGAGTTGAAGATGAAGCTAGGAACAATGCAAGGGAAGGAGGTGATTGGGTATTCGGAGCTTCTCCGAGCCTGCCATAGTATGGGTGTTTCCAAATCTCGGCGGCCACGTTTGCGCGTGTTCTTGATCAGGCTGGCGTTGTTCTGCTTTTCAGAGATAAAATCTATCTTCATCCCGATAAGTTAGCTACCCACTCTCTGTCTCTCTCTCTCTCTCTAGATACGTATAGAAATATTGTGTGTATTGGAATGGCAATTTCTTGGTTATATCTTTGTGCATTACCAAATCATAATGGATTACGAGGCAGTTTTTTCACCATATTCGGAACACTTTCATGAATTTTATTAAACTTTTTACATTTATGCATCTTTTAAAACACTTTTTATCTCAATCTCAAAATGAATATTTAAGAATGCTAGAAATCTTAAAAATTCTATTAAATTTTTTATTAATTGCCTTACATGCATGTGAATTTCATGTGGATGTGAATTTCATGTGGATCCTACCACGTGAGAATTTGTGACGTAACTAACATTTTTCTGAAGAAATACACTATATTTTCAAAATTATCATTTTTTATATTTTTTTAATATAAATGTAATCTGATAATTCAATATTTGAACAATTTGAATTTTTTTTTTGCATGAATTATTTAAACGGTAAGTCTCATAAAATGAACGGTTTCATTATGAAAATAAGTTTCCAGATGGGCCCACTGAACCCAACATCACCATTCAGTTAGATGCAAAATTGGGGAGATTCCATTTCCATGAAGCATTTGTATTATATGGATTACGAGGCAGTTTTTTCACCATATTCGGAACACTTTCATGAATTTTATTAAACTTTTTACATTTATGCATTATCTCAATCTCAAAATGAGTATTTAAGAATGTTAGAAATCTTAAAAATTCTATTATAATTTCTATTACCATGCGAGACCTTTGATAAAATTCGGTAGAATTTTTGAGGTGACTAACATTTTTCTGAAGAAATACAATATATTTTCAAAATTATCATTTTTTATATTTTTTTAATATAAATGTAATCTGATAATTCAATATTTGAACAATTTGAATTTTTTTTTGCATGAATTATTTAAACGGTAAGTCTCATAAAATGAACGGTTTCATTATGAAAATAAGTTTCCAGATGGGCCCACTGAACCCAACATCACCATTCAGTTAGATGCAAAATTGGGGAGATTCCATTTCCATGAAGCATTTGTATTATTGGTTATTCCAAAATGAGATAAATGGTCTTCAGTTATAGGCAAGATATGTCTTGGCAGTTCAAGAGAGATAAAGAGTCATAAATTGTTTTTTTCCCAATACTTTGCCGCTAAGCTACTGCTCTTTAGAAGCCATACATATTTGACATTATTACTCAAACTGATCTCTGTTTCTCCATTTCCCTCTATACATATGTATTCAGGTAGTTGATCTGGTTAGAAAAGCAGTGCCTCTTGCTCTAACATCTGAAGACGACCCCAGCAGGGAAGAACTAAGGCAGCTGCAAGAAAAGAAGGAAGAAATCGACATTGTTGCACATAAACAGGTCCGGCGAATCCTCTGGTCAGGGCTTGGGTTAGCTGTTGCACAAGTCGGGCTCTTCTTTCGCCTAACATTCTGGGAATTCTCCTGGGACGTTATGGAGCCGATTGCATTTTTTGCCACAGCCACTGGCATAGTCATAGGTTATGCCTACTTTCTGTTTACTTCAAGAGACCCAACTTATGAAGACCTACTCAAGAGGCTTTTTCTATCGAGGCGGAGGAAGCTGATCAAGAAGCATGATTTTGATGCTGAAAGGTTCATGGAGTTACAGAGGAAATGCAAATGCCCCCTGGATTCCCCTGGCTTTGTCAACCAAAGGATAGGGGTTGAAATAGAACATGAAGATGCTTTTCATTAGGCATCAACACATTTTATTTTTTAATTTTTTTTGACGTATTCCTCGCCGTCCAGGCGCTTGTATTTTTACCGAGTCAGGGGATACGTATTTTGGAACTATTTGTTGGCTTTGACATTGATTCTCTTGTGGAAAGCCAGTCGATGGTAGCGCTGATTGCTGTATTGAGGTAACCATTTATTGGCTGTTACGGTCGAATTTTATAACTAGATAGAAACTGCCTTTTTTTTTTTGTGTGTATGTGTTAATGATTTTATGAAATTTCAGTTATCTAGCATATGATTGCAGCCTGATGAATTTCTTAATCATTAAAGCCGTGTTTGGTTAGAAGATTTGGAGAGGAATTTAGAAATGAAAAGAGAAGATGTGTATGAAACTAGGTGAAATGTAAGAGTATATTTTATTATCATTTCATCTACCTTTTCTCTTTCCCTCCAAATCATTTTCTAAATCCTCCAATCAAACACAACGTAACGATCTGCATCTGACTTTCTTCAAGTTTTTATTTTAAGTACTTTTTAGAAATTGGGTTAGTGTCAAAAGAGTGAACCCTAACATGCATGAGTTGGTTCATGAGCTGATTGCTCTTTTACTGATGATTTTGTTTTGTGTATGTTGGAGGTTGTCTATTTCTCCTTTTGGGTATCATATGCAAGACAATAATTGAGATCTTGACACAGCAAAATCGTGAAAAAAAGTATATATAGTCAAACTTCACATGTATTGATTATGATAAAGCTGTGTAATCTTTTCTTTGACAATGAATTAGTGTTGGCCATTACTTGCATTAGGGAACGACGTCCCTTTTTTTTCGCTCCATTGAAGACGCTGAGAGTTTCACTTGATAAATTTTATTTATATTACAATATATATGGGTTTTACTTTTACAATTCATTGAAATAGTTACTTACTCTTTAAATTATTAAACACTTGACATACAACATTGAATCTCACTTTTATCACTTCTTATCATACAATACAATTCATCCAACATTTTTAACTTGCCCACTGTGATGCTCGTCAAGCAATATAGCAAAAAACAAAGACAATGACAATAAATGACCTCTGTTACAGCAGTACCAAGACTCTGGTGAAGAGTTAACAAGAGGGAAGAGGGGCATGAATTGAGTGGGAGAAATGAGTTAACAACAGTTTGGATCCACTTGACATTCATTGTTGTGGATCCCATTCACATGCAGGAACCTCGCCATTGAACGATGTGGATCCTACGTGTGACAATGTTGCACATTGCAATGAATAGCAACTTTTAAGTGGCATGACATTAGATGTGTGATTGTGATTGTGATTGTGATTGTGATTGTGATTGGTACCCTCAGTGAGCAGCTGATCATGGCAATGATCTTGGCAGGGCTTGGCCATGGATGTCAATGATGGAGAAGCTTGGGAACAGATCACCGCGGAGAAGACCTCAGACAGTTGGGCTCTTAGAGCCATGGCTTCTGCTAGAGCTGCATTTAACTCAGATTGCAAATGGAGCAACTGGTTCTGCAGAGATGATACAAAGCCGACACAACCATACACAGGGTCCCTTAGCCTTGCCTTTGCTTCATAAACCATACTGGTCACAGCGTCTTCTCTGTCATCCACTGGAACCTCCTGTTTGAGATATAGCAGGTCACTAAGGGCACATATAAAAATAATTAACAATAATGTATGAAATGATGACAATGTCATCACTATGCGATTAGTTAAAACAATGTGATAGACTCTATTTTTAATATAACGGACTCCGTTTAAAACGAAAGATTCTGCTATTTGAACCAATATGATGAAGTGTGCATTGTTCCCACAGCACCACCAGACTATCTGATTTAAGTATTGTTGTATTAGCTTGACTAATGAAACAAATGAGATTCTTGATTGTAGCTACTTCATATATGTTAAGAGTCTAACTAATGAAACAAGCGAGATTCTTGATTGTAGCTACTTCATATATGTTAAGAGTCTAACTCATGACCTCCGAGTTCAGTTGGAAACACCTAAAAGTTTAATTTTCAAAAACTATTAAAACGAAAGCGATATGAAACAATGGGGTATTTTCTAACTCATTATTTTTGTATACGAAAACACAAGAAGCAAAAACAAAACCGGATAAAGCGAAAAAAACAGTATCAAACAGAAGTTTAGATTTCATTACTTGTAACATTTTGCACACATTACTGGCACCGAAGACCTTGTGAACAGCCACGAACTTCTCTGGTTCAGAAGGTGGAAAGTAGGGCAAGAGAATGCAGCTGTTTGTGCATCTTCTTCGAAGAAACTTGCAAGCAGCACAAGGCATTATAGATACTGCCATTGCCATTGTTCAACAACATTACTGATTATGAGTCTTAGTCCTCTTACTTCACCAAGGATCCTCTAGAGTGAAATTTCTCTAAAATTTCCTAGAGTGTTATAGTGTGTGGTTGAGATTTATTGGCAAGTCACATCAAATTGATGTGACTTGCCAATAAATCTCAACCGCACAATATAGCACTCGAGAAAACTTTAAGAAAAAATCACTCTAGAAGATCCCTGCTCCTCTTACTTACAATTCCTTGGTATTTATTGGCAACTAAAGATATGCTCTAGAAATGTCGTCTCTCGAAATTTCCTTCCCAGCATCAAAATATTTTCCAACCTCTTTGAATTACATTATTCATTAAAAAATATATTTTTTTATTTCAAATCAATTCAATTCTTCTCAGTTTTATAAAAAACTACGGAGATAATTCAATGTACGACATCAAAATATTTTCCAACCTCTTTGAATTACATTATTCATTAAAAAATATATTTTTTTATTTCAAATCAATTCAATTCTTCTCAGTTTTATAAAAAACTACAGAGATAATTCAATGTACGAGACTCTCGCTATTTCAAAGTTTGAACGTGATTCAATGTACAAGGCTCTCGTGACTAGAACAATCATATTAAAATAAACAATTTTTTTTTTTTAATTTGAAATAATCAAAAAGACTAAATCTATATCTATCTATCTATATTTATATTTATATATCTATCTATCTATACTATATATTAAGTAAAATGGGATTTTTAACCCCAAGCCTTGTGGGAGCTCCAATCTCCCAATTTAATTTTCTGATTTTTTGCTTTAAAAAAAAAAAAACTTAGCATTTATTAACTTTTCCCAACTCCCAAGTCCTACCCTCATAATAACACTTTAATGTATTAAAAACAAACATAAAAAAAATTTAATATAATATAATATAAAAAAAGACATTTAATTCCTTGAAAAATCCAATACATATGATTATTATCAAAATATTAAACTTTAATATAATATAATATAAAAAAAGACATTTAATTCCTTGAAAAATCCAATACATATGATTATTATCAAAATATTAAACTTTAATATAATATAATATAAAAAAAGACATTTAATTCCTTGAAAAATCCAATACATATGATTATTATCAAAATATTAAACTTTAATATAATATAAAAAAGGAAAAAAAGAAGGCATTTAAAAAAAAAAAACATTTAAAAATCACAATTCACATATATAGATAATTGTAAACACAATCCGTGCATAGCACAGGTGATATGTTAGTACTATATATTAAGGAAAATGGAGTTTTTAAATCCCAAGCCTTGTGGGAGCTTCAATATCGCAATCTGAATTTTTAAAGTTTTTTATTTAAAAAAAAAAACTTAGTATTTATTAATTTGGTCAAAATTCCCTGATCAGCATTTATTAACTTTTTTCAATTCACATGTCTTTTCACATGCTGCATTTATTGATTTGGTCAAAAACTCCTGATCAGCATTTAAAATCACCTCATACAAATAATTATAGATACAATCCATGTATAATTACTGCAATACCCTTTTCAACTTCTCCTATACACTATGGTTAGTGATAAGATTGTTAAATTATTTTTAGACTTCTCCCAACCCACAATCCCTTTTGACTTCTCTCATAATTACTGCAACACCATTTTCAATTTCTCCCATATACTATGGTTACACACAAAAATAAAAAATAAAAAGATAAGAATTTAGCTATAGATCTCAAAAAGATATAACATCTAAATTTGAATTATGATTTAATAATATAATTATGTAATTTTTTTTAAGTATATCTATCAAAATTTTAAATCACTTAATGGGACAAATTAATTAATTTTCCAAAATTATTGATTTTTAATTTACAAAATAGATTAAAAAAAACTATTGACTGATTTATTTATTTATTAACAAAAATATTTCATAATCTCTCCCTCCTAATCTCTCTCACAAATTTTCAAAAAAAAAATAGTAAAACTTACATTCATTTTCTCTTCCCCAAAAAATCAGATAATATTTTCTATTAAAGTTGTAGATATCTACATATATTTTATATATTATATAATAACATAACAAAAAAAAAAACTAAAAAACTAAAAAAAAAATCTTTAAAGTTTATCTGAATAAACTTTAAATCAATAAAATTCACATGTCTATCACATATCTAACTCATATCATAACTTACCTAAATAATAATAATTAAAAATAAATGGAAATCACAGATAAATTAAGTTTTAAAAAAAAATACCCACAACTCCATCTTAAATAAATTGAAAAAAAAAATACCCGAATAGAAATCACAAAAAAAAAGAAGATATATCTATCTATCTATCTATCTATATATTAAGCAAAATTGAGTTTTTAACCCCCAAGACTTATGGGAGCTTCAATATCCCAATCTGAATTTTTAAAATTTTTTATTTAAAAAAAAAAACTCAGCATTTATTGATTTGGTCAAAATCCCCTGATTAGTATTTATTAACTTTTTTCAATCCACATATCTTTTCACATGCCTGCAATTATTGATTTGGTCAAAATCTCCTGATCAGCATTTAAAGTCCCCTCATACAAATAATTATAGATATAATTCGTGTATAGTTACTGCAATACCTTTTTCAACTTCTCCCATAGATTATGGTTAGTGATAAGAAAAAAATCTTAAAAAACATAATTTATATATTAAAAAAAAT